ACATGGCCTATGTATTAGCAGCCGGCGGGGGCGCCACTCGCACCTGCGCCGCCTGCCCCGCAAGTGCTGCGAGTGAGGCGGCTGCGTCGGCCGCGGCGGCTGCGGCGGCCGCGTGCGCAACGGCGGGCGGCGGCGCGGGGCCGGCAACAAAGCGCTCCACGGGCGCTGCTTGCCGGACGGGCCGGGCTCGCGAGACATGGGCCTCGACCTACTGCCGTGCGACTCGGTCTGGGAGGTGGCACGACGGGTGGGGGCCGCGGCGGGGGGGGCGGGGGGGAGCGGGGGGGAGCGGGGGGGAGGGAGCGAGAGCGGAAAGAGGGGGGGGGGAGGGGGGCGAGAGCGAGAGAGGGAAGAGCGAGAGCGAGAGAGAGGGAGCGAGAGCTAGGGAGAGGGAGCGAGAGGGGGAGAGGGGGCGAGAGGGGGAGAGGGAGCGAGCGAGAGGTGCGCTCCTCGGGCGGCTCGGGTGGAGGGGCGCGAGACCAGGCGCCGCAAGCGTTTGCCGCACCGCGGGTCGGAACCTCCGACGCCGCGTCTTCCGACCAGAACTGGGGCGGCTCTTCGTCCGTGGTGAAAGTGCCGTGCAGATTCGAGTACACGACCGAGCAGCGCCCGTTCGGCGGGGCCGGCGGCGCCTCGCCATGAGGCGCGCCGGGGTCCAGCGGCCGTGACATCTTTGGGACAGCACCTGCATCACCTGTTCACAGCCAGCCGTGTGAAGAGACGCTCTTCACAGCTTCGACGGGCTGCTGCCCGCGCCGCGATTGCGATGGGGCGCTGCCGCGCCGAGAAGCGCGACCCGCTCTTCATTCGAGCACGGGCCGAGGTGGTACGCTCTGAGGGTGCAGCCAGGCGTCATGCACAGGCGCACGCCGCGAGACGTCCCGGCCTGAAGCTGCATGCGCTCTCGCTCGGGCGGCTGCATGCGGTCTAGCGGCTGCATGCGGTCTAGCCCCAACGCCAGGCGCCTGTGGGGCGAGCGGGACGGGCAGCGGTGAGAGTAGAGGCGGCGGCGGTGGCGGCGACGGACGACGATGACAAGTGACGGAGGCGGTGGGGACGGCGGCGGCGGCGAGGGTGGTGGCGGTGAAGGCGGCGGCGGCGAGGGCGGCGGCGGCGAGGGCGGCGGCGGCGAGGGCGGCGGCGGCGAGGGCGGCGGCGGCGAGGGCGGCGGCGGCGAGGGCGGCGGCGGCAAGGGCCGTGGTGGAGGGCAGCGAGGAGCGAGCAGCCACAGCGAGGGTAGAGAGAAGCCGAGCTAGGCAGGGCGCAGGGCGCAGCGAGGAGGGGGCAGGGCGCAGCGAGAAGGACGGCAGTGGTGAGGGCGGCGACGGCGAGGGCGAGGAGGAGGAGCGAGCCTTCGGGAACCTGTGTGCAATTCTTCCCGCGCCGGCCATCCAAAGGAAAAGAAATAATCGGGCGCCTGCCGTATGTTCGGTCTAATTAAAATGAATGTTCGTAAGAGCTTTAAGTACACTAAAAAGAAGAAAATAACCCTCCGAACGATTGCGGGACGTACGTAACTCGAACGTGTCAAGCTCTGAGCTGTGTTTACGGACACCTACCTACCTAGTCACGGCTGTGTGTATGTCACCTCCCCGCTGGCTCCCCCCGCCTCTCTCCGCATACACATTCCTCGGCAACGAGTCCCTACCCGCCGATCTTCGGGCGTGCGTCAATCCGCCAGCCACTCGCCGGCTGTCCCACTCTGCCAGGCCCAAGCGCTGGCAGCTCATCTCCTCGACAAAGAGCCCATCCTGCAGTCCCGACTGCGCGCCGCTCGTGCTAGCCAGCGAGGGTCGCATCTGCCAGGAGAGGTGCGACTGCGCGGCGTGTGGCGGCTGCACGCTCACGGCTCGCAGATGGCGCACGCCGTCCGGCGCGGTGCTGCAGAGCATCGCGACAAAGACCAGCCCCAGTTTCGAGTTTGCCTTCAAGCCGGATGATCAGGACATGGACAAAATGAAGGTGGGGCTGGTGGTGGAGCCGGTCCTGACGCACGCGTGGCACGAGGCCGTCTTGGGCTGCTGCGGTCGGGGTGGGGCAGTGGTGGATGTGGGCGGTAACTATGGCTGGTTCAGCCTCTTCAGCCTGGCGCTCGGCTGCCGCGTCACCGTCTTTGAGCCCGTGCCGGACTTCCTAGAGGCGGGCCGCGCTCTCGTCCAGCCCTGCACGCCCTGCACTACTGCCTCAGTTTCCCCTGCGCCCAACACACCTCAGGTGCTCGGCCTCGGTCTCGCCCTCAACCCCGGCTTCGCGACACGCGCGACGGTGCACCCGCTGTTGGTGCACGACGGCCCACCAAAGAACTTCAGCATCCGCGTGCCCACCGGGTCACGGCGCAAGACGAACGCCAAGCTGCAGCTGGGCATTACGGCGACGCATGGCCCACTCGACGCACGCACACCGCTCAGGCATCCAAGCTCCTCCACATTTGGTAGGCGATGGTGGGGGAGAATGGTGCGCTCAAGCTCGGCAACAAGTGGGTCATCACCCGCGAGGTGCAGCGGCGCAGCACGCGGCTCGACGACGTGGTGGATGGGCAGGACGAGGTCTGCCTGCTCAAGGCGCGCGCTCGAGCAGGAGACACGGCCCACGGTTGCGGCGAGGCTCACCTGCGTGTCTTTTCCGCGACTCAAGGCGGATGTTGAGGGCTACGAGCCACAAGTCCTTCACTCGGCGCGCCGCCTCTTTGCCCGCCACCGGCCGCGCGCCGTGCAGATTGAGCTGACCCAGACGGACGACGCGCCTCCACAGCGATGTGAGGCGCCTCGGCTGCTGCACTGTCATTCCGACCTCGCTACGCACCTGTGCAGCTCGCCCGCTTAACGGGGGTAGGCGATACGCATGCTGACCGCCCTCTTCGCCCTCGGGTACAGCGCACGGCAGATCGCGCAGCCTTACCTGACCAAGTCGAGGGAGCTGCCGACCAGACCGTGGCACATGGCGCCCGGCCCTTGGGCCGCCGAAAGCCTCCGCACCTTCCCCAGCAAGACTGCGTACCATGCGTACCACCGGCTCCGCACAAGGCCGGAGGTGGTCGCCGCCGCGGCGCGTAGCGGGGGTGGGAGCGCGGCCGACAGCATGCCCAGCGCCGGCGTGTGGGAGGCGGCCGCCGCCCTCGTCGACGTGACTATCCGCGCCGACATCTCTCAGTACTCCACAAACTTCATGTTCCGCCTCGACGCGCCGAACATGACCGGGGCGCCGAAGCTGAAGTTGGAACCAAGGACGAGGGCGAAGGTCTCGCGTTCATCTTCGGCGCCTCCCACTCGTAGCAGCGCGAGGCTCTTGGCTGAGCAACTTGTAAGCGAACGGCACCGTGCAAGGCCAATAAGGGCGACCCGGATGGATCCAGAGGCGGCGGGCTTCGACGTCACCGACTGGCCGGCGCTTGCGTGCAAATGGGAGCGCTCGTCGGAGTGAGCGCTGGCTGCGCCGAGGGACACTGAGAGGCGACACCGCCCTCGACACCATCACCGGCGCTCCTTGCTAGGCCCGGCGCGAGTCTCCTAGCGGACGAGGCCAGCTGCCGTGCGTGCCTGCAGCAGAGGCCGTCAGAAAGAACCGCGCTCAGCGGACCGCGCTGCGGCTGCGTCATTGCAGAGGCGTCGCATGTGCTGCGTGGCCGCGGCGAAGGGGCGCTGCCGTCGTCGTCGACGCAGGCGGGCGAGCCGGTGGGCGAGCGCGTCGCCAAGGTTGAGGCGAGCCTCTCGGAGCTCAGCGGGCGGCTAAAGGCTCTCGAGGACGCGGCGCGGGGCTGAGCGCCGTGAAGGCGAGGGCGCGCGACCGCGAGGCCCAGAGACAGACGCAGATGCCAGAACCCTCGATCGCGCTCTCGCGCAGGGGCAGGGGCTCTCTCGATCTTTGAAAAGAAACTGTAACTGTCCCGCGTCCAGCGATCTCTCTCGTCTCCGTGGAGAGACGCGTCAGAAGCGCGTATACCAAATGTGGAGCGGTCGTCGGGTCGTCGCCCCTCCGCCGCCCCCATCCCCACACCTCTCACCGCGCCCGCGCCGGCGCGGCTGCCCTGCCAGTGCTCTTCTTGCCGCCCATGCGCCTGGCCTCGTTGGCTTGCGCGCGCTCGATCCGCTCGTCGCCCGCCAGCTTCGCCTTAGCGATGGTGCCGACGATGATGATGCGCGAGCCCTCGATGAGGACCGAGAAGAAGATGCCTACCAGCGGCTTGGCGAAGGCAACCGAGGCGGCGTCCTCGAAGCCGAGCAATGTGGCGATGACGGGGAAGAGGGCGGCGCCGATGGTGAAGGAGATGAGGCCCAGCCGCGCGCTCTCCGGGATCTTGTTGCCGAGCCCGCGGATGTTTGCGAAGCCCTTGATCTCGTCGGGCCCGAGCGTGTCGAGGGAGGGGCCGCACTGCGCAGCAGCAACAAAAGCAATTCTCTCGTCGGCGTGTCAAGGGTCTGGGGCAATCTGCCCACCTCGGCTCTCCCTGCAGTCTCGGCCAGTCTCGGCCAATCTCAGCCAGTCTCGGTCAGCCTCGCCTGCAGAACGGCGGGGTTCTTGAGCATGACGTCGAGCGCCTCCTCCTTGCCCATCATCTCAAAGAGGACCTGTGAACCAGCAGGCTGGCTATGAAGCTGGCGGAGTGGTGTGAAGGCGACCCCGTCCTCGAAGAGAGGACGTCTTTCGAGAGAAGCAGGGTGTTGCAAAACGTGTACGACGGGTTGATAATCTGCGGGTTGGAGAAGACCGCCTGCGGTTCCACCCGGGCGGTGAGAAGGCGCGTCGGCGGTACGATCCGCATGTCGAGGCGGAGAGCCAAACCTCGCGCGCGAGCGCTTCGCTGCCGTACGCAGCGACAAGCGCGCCCCAGAGCTGCTCGAGCTGCTGCCGCGTGTACTCCTACGGATCACGGCATCGAGGCATCTGGGGCAGCGTCCACGCGGCATACCAGCAGCCGACTCGGTGCCTTCTTGAATCTCTGCGTCACCTCAACGATGTCTGCTGGCAGCCGCTTGCCGCGCACGCGAGGCGGCGCGCCCTTAGTCACCGTCTTCATCTTGTTGGCCTCGTTGATCTCCTTCACCTTGGCGAAGAACTGCATCCGCGGCGCCGGCGACCGAGGATGCGCAGCGGCAGCAGGAGAATATGCTCCGACCGCGGCGGCGCCGGCGGTGGGCGCAGCCGAGCGGCGAAGCACGGCTGGGGCGTGGAGCAGCGACAGTAGAAGCGGAGCGACGAAGAGCATTGCGTCTGTGTGGAGCAGCTCTCAGGCAGCTCAGCAGTGTCGTCGAGTGTAACTCCTCGCCGGTCCGTGCCGCTTTGGTGCGAGAGTCGAATCTCCAGATACCTCGCGGTGTGAGCTGGTTGTTTCTTTTAACCTATCTGTGAAAAGGGAAAGGTGTTGTGAAAAGGGAAATATTGAGTATTTTGCCGGTTCCTCGGTTTCGCCTCTTTTGTCCCAGAGGACCAGCTCTCAGACTCAGGGAAACTCGAGAGTTGCCAGAATGGATGGAGCACCAATACTTACTTTCTTTCTTTGAAAAAAGGTACAGGTCGCCGAGCTGGACAAGCAGAATCTCAGCTCAGCAGGCGCGCTCGCACTTAGCGTCTCCCTCCTCACCGGGTACGTAGTCACAGACAAGGACCTGGCGAGCGGGGGATCGGTCTTCGAGGGCGCAGTCTACGGCCGGAACCCGTCGACAGTCAAGTGCGTGCGACAGGCCAAAGACGACCCGGGCAGCCTCCACCATGCCCTCAAATCTGGCGAGCGGAGCCAGGTCGTCCAGCATCTCCGCAATCTGGGCAAAGACTACCGGGAGAGGGACATGCTGGCCGAGGCCTCACTCATCCTCGAGTTCTCGTCTGGACTGGGCGACATCACGGAGGACAAGCAGTTCTTCTCCTACATCGAGCGATTCTTCCGCAAGTACCCGGGGCGCGGCCTGCCGGAGCTGCCGCTCGACCGCATCCTTCGCGACGACGTCTACCGCGAGCATGAGAGGTCAGTCGAGTCGTTCAAGAAGGAGCTGGCCGAGCTCGCCAAGCGCGTCACCAAGGCGGAGGCGGCCGCGGCGGAGGCCCAGCGGGCGGCCGAGGAGGGGAAGCGGTCGGGCAAGTCCGGCGTCAAGACCTGCTTCTGGTGCGGCGAGGAGGGGCACGTCAAGCCTGATTGCCCCGTCTTCAAAGCCGATTTGCCGAAGGTCAAGAAGGGCAACTGACGCCCGCGGGACCTAGCCCCACCGCCTTGCCTCGCTCGCTCCGCGTGACACTCACGCGCCGCGGGCAGGGCTCGGGACGGTGAGGCGCCCCACCGCGCCGTTGCAGCCCGGGCACATGAAGAGAGAGCCGACGCCCTTAACAGGGTGGCTCCTTCTCTGATCCCCGCCCGGGCAGCCCGGCGTTTTTCTGTGTTTCCACCTCACAGAGGTGGTGGCGCCTCTCCTCCCCCACACCAGGGCGAGGCAGGCGCCTCCTCCCCTGGTGGTGGTCGTGTGTTTGGTGCGTCGTATGTGGTAGTCGTTCGTCCCAGTGACAGAGTTTTGGGGTCAGCGCTGAGTTCGGCTGTCTCAACTTGTACTGTGGACGATGGTCCGGCCCCGGCGGGAGCCGAGGGCGAGGAGGAGAATCGGCGGGCGAATATCGACTGGGCGGGCTGCCTTGCCATCGCCGACTCGGCCCCGCCGAAACGGCCAGCCCTCTCTCGGCCCGTTTTGGGATGCAGTCAGCTCCACGCACCTCGAGGCGTCGCGAGCCGGCCACCGGCCACGCCGCCCCCCAGCGGTGTGGCAGGCATCTCAGCCACGAGTGTCGAGCGGGCAGACGAGGAGGCAATCGGCGACGGCGGGAGCCGCCGCCTCCAAGAGCAGAGCGCGTGGGCCGGGATCGGCCTCGCCGCCGACGAGAGAGCCGTGGCAGCCGCTGGGCTCATCCGTTCCCGGTGGCAGCGCTGGGTGACGCTCCGGACGGAGCGGGTCGAGGCGCCCCGGACGGGGCGTGGGGGAGCCGGACGGCTCCCAGATCGGGCAGCCGGACGGCTGCCAGGTGACTGCGCGCTGGCCGGAATCGGCCTCGCCGCCGACGAGAGAGCCGTGGCAGCCGCTGGGCTCATCCGTTCCCGGTGGCAGCGCTGGGTGACGCTCCGGACGGAGCGGGTCGAGGCGCCCCGGACGGGGCGTGGGGGAGCCGGACGGCTCCCAGATCGGGCAGTCGGACGGCTGCCAGGTGACTGCGCGCTGGCCGGAATCGGCCTCGCCGCCGACGAGAGAGCCGTGGCAGCCGCTGGGCTCATCCGTTCCCGGTGGCAGCGCTGGGTGACGCTCCGGACGGAGCGAGGTGAGGCGCTCCGGACGGGGCGTGGGGGAGCCGGACGGCTCCCAGATCGGGCAGCCGGACGGCTGCCAGGCGACTCCATGAGTGCGGAAGCGTGGGCCAGAGGCGGCGCGAGCTTCGCCGACGTCGACCGACCAGAGCTGGACAGCGTGGTGCGCGCTCGCGCCGCCGGGCTCCTGCAACGACGCTGGAGGAGCAGAGGGCCGCCCGGGATCGGGCGGGCGCCCGGGATCGGTTGCGGCAGGGAGCGCCTTCTCGCGGAGCCGCTCCCGACATGGGTGACTCGCCTCGTCGTCTCCGCCCAACGTCGATGGCGGCGAGGCCGCCTCACGAGCATCGAGGTCGGCTGGGATCGACGGCGAGCCCACGCGCTCGGCGCTCTCGAGGCGCATGTGCGCTTCATGCAGCACGTCGTACGCTCCTCCATCCGCCTCGGCCGATGGCGGCGCGGCGGCATGAGAGGAGTCCCCCTCGCGCTTCGTTGGTTGCGCCGTGAACGTCCGCCGTCGTGTGGTGGAGGGCGCAACCTTGCCTCGGACGAGGATTTTGCGGCTCAGCGTGCCCTCGCCGAAGAGTGGATGGGCTGGTACGACAACTACGTCGCCATCCTCAGGCGGCTTCAGTCGGGCGAGACCCCGGGCATTCTCGAGCTCTTCTGCGGCAGCGGCGGCGGCAGCGAAGGCACGAGGAGGTCTGGTGGACGCAGCCACGGTGTCGACCTCTACGACATGCCCGAGTACATCGACAGATTCGGGCCGGAGGCCTTCACGCGGGGCGACGCGATCGACCACGCTCTCATCGGCTCCTTGCGGCACCAACACCGGGCTCTAGCTGCGTTCGCCTCCCCCCCGTGCAAGGAGTATAGCACGGCGAGGGACGCGCGAACGCCGGCGAAGCAGCCCGGGCTCATCGACCACACTCGGGACATGCTGCGCGGGCAGTTCAAGTACTGGTCTATCGAGAACGTGGCCGGGGCGCGCAAGGCCATGAAGGACGCGGTCGAGCTGCGAGGCTCCCTCTTCGGTCTCAAAGTGGCAAGGCCTCGGCTCTTCGAGTCGAGCTTCGAGCTGGTCGTCGACAGAGCCGTCGCCGAGCCCGCCGCACGGCTCGCCAAGCGGTGCTGCCTCGGGCAGCGGCGCAGGTGGCGCAGAAGGGACTCGTTCGGCCGGCCCGTGGGGCCGTGCTGCGGGGGCAACATATTCTCGCCCCTAGGGGAGCATCCGATGCGGTGCTCGGTCGAGCAGTGCGCAGACGCGATGGGGATCGACGTGGGGCACATGTCGTACCCGCGGCTCGCTCAGTCCATCCCTCCCGACTACAACCGGCTCCGCTACGCGCAGTGCTGCGCTGCGATAGCCAAGGATCGGTTCGGCGTGCCCTTCATCTCCTTCGACGAGATGCGACGGCGGCCCGCTTGGGCAAAACGCGAGATCGCCCGCTGGCTCCGTGGCGCCGGCGACGCCGAGCCTGCCGCTGCTCTCGAGTGGCAGGGTAGGGCGGCGGCGCCGGAGCGCGCAGAGGCGCCTCGGACGGCGCCGGCTGGAGCCGGCTGCGACGGTGAGCGGACATTCACAGACGAGGAGCTCGTCTTCCGCGAGCTCTTCTACTCATATGTCGGCGGCTTCGACCAGCAGCGCGTTGACGGCGAGGTCAAGGCGGGCTGGCTCGACGAGCTGCTGCCGAATCGACGTCTCGATCGGCTCGAGGCGGGCTCTCTCACCGGGCACAACACGTACCTGGACGTGCCCGGCCCGGAGCTGGAGGCGGCGTGGCCGGCCATCGAGGCCGCGCTGGCCGCCCCCGCCACCTCGGTCGTGGTGAGAGTCGACCGCGACGCCGCCGAGCGATGGCGAGAGCGGGGCTTCTCTCCCCCCGACGTGCCGGCGAGTTACTGGCGGGGCGGCGTTCCCTCGCCGGGTCTCGCCTCTCGCCCGGCCCTGGTCGCGGGCGGTCGCCTGTGGGCGAACCGGGAGAGCCGTCTCGACCACTCTGAGGCTCGCGAGTACATGGACTGGCGGGATCAGACGGGCTGGAAGCCAGACGCTCTGGAGAAGGCGGCTGCCACCTACCGTCCTCTCCCACACGCGCCCGAGGCGTGGGCTCACGCCGCTAGGGCGGGGTCGGGCGACCTCGGAGCTGCCGAGATGGCCAGGTATCCGGTGATGAGGGAGGAGGTCCGGTTAGCCATGACTGAGGGGGTCAGCGTCTCGACCGAGGCCGAGCTGGGCAGGTACGAGGTCGCGCAGTACCCCTTCTCCTCCCTCCAGGCCGAGTCGCAGTGCGGCAGGGAGGTGGACCGGGCTCTGTTGGCCGGCCATCTCGAGCCCGTCCCTCTCTCGGAGTACGACCAGGTGCACTGCGTGCATCCCTGGACCATCGTGGACCAGGGCGGCGGCAAACATCGAGCGTGTCAGTCGTACAACGTCGGCCTCAACCGAGTGACGAGGACGGCTCCGTTTGCCCTCCCTTCGGCTTGGGACGTGGGCCGGCTGCTCGGCCCGGATTCGCACTTTGTCAAGCATGACTTGCGCGATGGGTTCTGGGGCGTGCGGATCAACCGCGCGTCTCGGAATCACTTCGTCCTGCGCCACCCTATCACGGGCATGCTTGTGCGCTGCACGAGCTTGCCGTTTGGCTGGGCGGACTCGCCGCGCATCTTCTGCGCCGTCACCGAGACCATCGCGGCTATGGTTCGGCGGCGCTGTGCGGGCCGCGGCGTGCACATTCTCGCGTACGTGGACGACTTTTTGATCGTGGGTGATTCCGAGGAGGCGGCGCGCTATGGCGGCGCCGTCTTCGAGGCGGTCTGCCAGGAGATGGGCCTCGAGTGGGCGCCGCACAAGGCGCGAGGACCGTGCCGGTGCATCGAGTTCCTCGGGCTCCTCATCTGCAACTTCCCAGGCCGCCGATGCATCGCCCTGACCGAGGCGAGGCAGCAGAGGCTGCAGGGAATGATCACGGACTGGCTGTCGAGGCGCCGACTCGACGGGCGGCCGGCCGAGGCGGAGCCGGTCGAGTTGGCTCGCCTTCTCGGCCATATGGTCTTCGCCTCGCAGGTCATCCCCGGCGGGCGGACGTATATGCAGGGTACGCTCTCGCAGTTCCAGGGCCTCGAGGTCGACTGGAGACGTGGGAAGGTGCGGGTGGCGACGCCAGCGCCTGAGCGGCGTCGCCGTCCCGGCCCCACCCCTCGCTCTCCGTGGCGCCAGATCGAGCTGAGCGCGGACTTCTTCCGCGACCTCGAGTGGTGGTCGGCGATGCTGGCTCGGCGCAACTGCACCGATCTGGACCGGCGGCCTCGCGCCATCGCCGCTATCACAGGTACCGACGCGAGCGACTGGGGCACAGGCCAGCTCGCCTGGCTCGACGGCCAACGTGCCGAGGTGCAGCTGCAGTTCAGCCCGGTCGAGCAGGCGTGGTCCATCAACGCTCGAGAGCTGCTCGGCATCCTCCGGGTCGTCCAGTTCTACGGCGAGCAGCTTCAGGGCAGCGCGGTGCTGGTCGAGGGCGACAACACCGCCGCCATCGGCGCCGCGCAGAACCAGGCGTCGACGGCGGTGTCGATGCAGGAGACGCTGCGCCGGCTGCTCGAGACGGCGGAGAGGTGGGACATCGAGCTCCGCTTCGTCCACACGCCGGGCGTGCTCCTCCACCGGCCCGACCAAACCTCGAGAGGCGATCCCATCGAGGAGCCGCGGGTGCGGCTAGCGGCGGCGGAGTTCGCCGCCATCGAGCGCCTGACGGGACGTTTCACCGAGTTCGTGGGCGCCGAGAGGCGACACGCCGCCGCCGAGGTCGGGGCGCAGCACAAGTGCCCGAGTGGAGGCAGCCCCCAATCCCCAGGTGGTGAGGATGGGTGCGTCGGTGGCGGGCTGGCCGCCACAGTCGCGGGCGGCAAGCCGCCTCCCCACCTCTGGGTGCACCCCACGCACAGCACGGTGGGCTCCGCCCTGCGGCGTGTGGGGGAGCGACTTTCAGAGGCGGGCGGTCAGAGGATCAGTGGAGTCGTGGTGGTACCGGACGCACCAAACGCAGGCTGGTCTCGACTGCTTCGCCATTTTTCAATATTGGGACGCTATGCCGTCGATGATGGCCCTCAGACCTGGGGGGAGGGGGTAGTCGAGATGCAGCAGATGGGGAGATTCGTCAGCTGTCGAGTCCGGCGCCCGACGCTCATCCTGTCTTTTCCCCGGGCGTCAGGCGCGACGCCGGCGCTCCTCCCTTGCGGCCGGCCACAGGTCATGATGGCCGGCTCGTTCCTCTGGAGCCCTCCGGGGCCGAAGGCTAAGTCGACGGAGAGAGGCAACCTCGTCCAGGTCGCCTCCACCTTCGACCCGTCGGCGGTCGAGCCCGACCGCGGCGGATGGCCCATCGCAGTGGCCGAGCTCTTGGGCGTGCGCGGGAAGCTGCGTACCTTCGAGCTCCTGGACGGCAGCGCGCGCGGCGGGTGCAGCTACTATGACGGCTCGACTCGCTCGCCATGGGAGTACAACAGTTCGGACCTCGCCAACTACTGGCTCGTCAACGACTTCGTCACTCGGGAGGATCCCTCGGGCGCCGGGGTCGTAGGCCGCTTCTCCTTCGATTGGAAGGCGGCCGTGCAGCAGCTGGAGAGGTGGCGGGCGCAGAGCGCCACGGGCGGTGCCACCCCGCCGACCGACGGCGACGCCACGCTAGCCGAGGCGATTGGGGGCTTGCGGGTCGACGAGGGCGGCAACTCTCCAGACGACGCCTTGAAGCTGGCTCGTGCCTCAGCGGACGAGGCAGCAGCGGCGCGGAGGCGCGTCGTGCCGAATGCCGCTCCAGCTGCCAGCTCGAAGGACCGAGAGCCGTCGGTCTCGGGCGCCGTCCAGCACTGCCAGAGCCGCGGCATGACATGCGCGGGCTGTGGAGTTGTGTTTGGGCTGGGCGCCAAGATCGAGCCGCGTGGCGCCGGCTTCGTACACGCCGGCCGTGACGAATGCGGCCGAGCCGCCGACGAGAAGGCTCCGGCTGTCATCGAGTCGGTGAGCCGGAGGGAGGCGTCCCTCGAGACGGTCCTGGGCGCCGGACGTGTCGAGACGGCGCTCAAGTGCCTCCAAGGGGGGTGCAGTGCCACAGGCGACAAGTACATCTGTGGACGCTGCGGCTCCTACGGGCTCCACCGCGAGTGCGCGGGCTTGTCGAAATACCAGGTCGAGCCGGGACAGCTCGTCTGTGCCGTGTGCCGGGCCGAAGCCATGACGCCGGACGGCCACTCACCCACCGACCTCGTCCTCCGACGCGCCGCTCGGACGATGCTCGCCGAGCTGGGCACCAAGGCGTCCTCCACGTCGAAGAACCACGCGGAGTTCACCCGTCTCGAGGAGGTGTGGGCTGCGAGTATGGGCGGCGGCGTCGTACTGCCCCGCTA